AGGGCACGCACAACAACAACTGGTGGGAGCCAGGCCCTCCCTGTCTCTCTCCCTCTCTCTCTCTCTCTCTCTCCACATCCCCCTTCTTCTTCCCCCATACTGGACGGAACCGTCGCGCGTCTACTGTCCTTGCTTTCTCTCCGCTCTTCTTCCTCTCCTTCCGTTGGTGTGCCGCCGACCCCCCTCCCCTCGGCTCGGCCCCACAACGGCCGGCCGGACTCCGGCCGTCTGGGCGCCGGTCGCGGTGTCCATCCCTCCCTCTCTCTCCCTCTCTCTCTCTCTCTGTCAAAATGAATACACCGAAATCCACACACACACACGCGCGCGCGCATACCCAAACACGCGTCCCTCCGTGAGGCTGTGCCAGCAGGCGATCTCTATTGTGCCGATGCAGCGGAAGGGGAAGGGCCGGGGATGCACACGCACGTGCATCTGTGCAGGCGCCCGCATGCAGACACGAGCATGCAAGTACACACACACACACACACACACACACGCACGCACGCACGCACGCATGACAGCCACTACGACTCGTCTTGGCCCCCCTGCGCAGCGAGGGCCGCCACGGCAGCCGCCCAGTCATCATCCTCCTCGGCGTCATCCTCCTCACCGGACATGTAGTCCAACCCCATGCGATTGAGTGAGGCGATGATGTGGCTCTCGCCGGCCCCAGCGGACCCCTCGTCCAAGGGCCCGGCCCCGGTGGCGTGGGAGGCGTCGGCGCCGTCCGAGTCGTACGCATTCCCGCGCCCGGTGTTCCCGGCGCCAGCCGTCACCATGCCCACCTGCAGCGGGTCCAGACGAGTGATCTCGCGCTTGACAATGCGCCCGGCCAGCTTGTCCAGTTCGGTGGACACAATGTCCAGGATTTTCTACACCCCCGACGGAAGAGCCAATGGCAATCCAGCGAGGAGCCCGGTCAGAAGTGAGGCCAAGCAAATGCGGCGCTGGCCATGGCCGATGGGCTTGATACGCACCCTGAAGCGCGAGTCGATGCGCATAAAGGCCGAAATGAAGGCCACGTCCATCTCGGGATGGCGCTCGGCGATCTCGCTGGCCCGGAGGTACGCCGAGCTCAGCATATCACACAGGGAGAAGACCACCTCGAAATAGTCCAGCTCGTAGGGCTGTGCAAAGGTCAGTCACGCGGAATGTGCACGAACTCCAGGAGAGATGGGAGGGGAAAGGGCCAGCATCAAAACGCACGATGTTGGGCGTCTGCAGATACGTGTAGAGGCCGGTTTCGAGGTAGCTTCGCTCGATGGTGTACGGGTCATCCGGCCCGGAGTCCTTGGTCACACGGAACATTTGCCGCTATCAGAGGCGGGGAGGAGGGGAAGGGGAGAAAAACGAGAGGGAAAGGGAGTGCATGCAGTCGGTCAGCAGAAGCGGGAGGAGGCAAGGCAAAGACGAGCGAGGGGGGGGGGGGGCGGGGGCGGGGGCGGGGAGGTGAAAAAGACCGAAGGAGGACGCACAACGCGCGCGAATTCCGTGGTCTCATACTCATACTCCTCGGTGAGGAGATCCAGGAAGCGGGCATATGCAATTGGATCATTGACACGCAAGATCGGCGCAAGGCTGACGCCAAGCTGGAACCAGTGTGCCGAGCTGATGGTGGCACATGAGGGACGCGGCAGCATGTCAGCAAGGTGGGCAGATGGCCAGGGGGAGAGGGCGGCATTGTAGGCGCACCGCTTCTTCATCTTGGAGTTGGGGTAGCACGACCGAATGTCGCTGTAGCTGATCTTAACGGTGTTGAAAAAGTGCGCGCCGCCGAGATGCAACCTAGGAAGCCAGGGAGAGGAGAGGAGTGGGGGG